TTTTTAAAAATTTTTTTATTAAGGTATGATTGATATACACTCTTATGAAGGTTTCACACAAAAAAAATGTGATTACTACATTTGCCCATATTATCAAGTCCCCACCCATACCCCAATGCAGTCACTGTCCATCAGTGCAGCAAGTTGCCAGAGATCCACTATGTCCCTTCTCTGTGGTACACTGTCTTTCCCATGACCCCCCTACCACACCATGTGTACTAAACATAATACCCCTCAGTCCCCTTCTCCCTCCCTTACCCACCCACTCTCCCACAACCCTCCCCTTAGGTAACCACTAGTCCCTTCTTGGAGTCTGTGAGTCTGCTGCCATTTTGGTCCTTCAGTTTTTCTTCATTGTTATACTCCTCAAATGAGGGAAATTATTTGGCACTTGTCTTTCTCTGCCTGGCTTATTTCACTGAGCATAATGCCCTCCAGCTCCATCCATGTTGTTGCAAATGGTAGGATTTGTTTCTTTCTTATGGCTGAATAGTATTCCATTGTATATATGTACCACATCTTTATCCATTCATCTACTGATGGACGCTTAGGTCCAGCAGCCTATTTTAAATGGGTCCCTTCTTTGACTTTTCTCCGTAACATTCACCCACTTCTTATAAAGTATTTATTTATCTTGTTTATTTTCTGTCTCTCCCTGCTGAGTGTCAACTCCATAAGAACAGTGGTTTTGTCTGGTGTGTTCCCTGCTGCACCTCCAGGGCCCAGAACTGTGCCTGGCACAGAGGAGATGCTCAAGAAGAAAACCCGAGGCTCATCGTAAGTGCTCAATAAACATAGTGGTTCTTATTAGTCCTGAGGCCTCTGGGGTGAGAGCAGAGATGCAGCCTTGGCTGTCTCCTGGGGCCCCTTGCCCATCACAGGGTGACAGATGGTGAGGAGAGCTCTGGGAGGGAGGATATAGACCAGGCCTGCTAGGGCTCTGGGGCAGGGTGGCCAAGGGGGTTTTTCCTGGGTTTCCCAGATGTGGAACTTTCAGTGCTAAAACCAGAAAGTTCCTGAAACAAACCAGGACAAGTTAGTCACCCTACCAGTCTGAGACGCAGGCCTGAGCCTAGGCAGAGCCTGTGTGTTCATCTGTGTGTGTACATGCCACGTGCACACATGCATGCATGTATCTGAGTACATGCACATGCATATGTAAGTACACGTTTGTCTCGAGACCAGTGAGGGGGCTGGTAGCCAGGACCCTTCATCCTGCAGCATCCCGGAATTCCATCTCTGAGAGGGGGCGGGGCGCTCTTGAGATTGCACAGCCCTGAGCCTGTGATGTCCCCTCTTATCTCGGTGCTCACTCTGGCCTAGCCTTTAGCTCCTGCTCTCCTCCTGACACGCTGAATTATGCACCCACTCCAGGATCACTCTCAGCTGGGAAGTGGGTGGCCCCTTATTGGAATAACCTTTCAGCTTTCATCTGCTGCAGCTACTCCCCTGAGCAGGCCTGCCCAGGGACACTGCTATTTGGGCTGCCGAGCTCTCAGGGCGCCTTGTTGAAGCAACTTTGGGCTCCCCTACCCTCTGCTGGTCTGTGTCTACCACCCCTCAGCGCAAGATCCCTGCGTGCTGGCAGGGGTGCTGGAGCTGGCACAGTGGCTCTGTACTCAGGTCCTGCCTGGGCTGGGGACCAACACTGGTAGCAGCACATTTCAGCTGGGCAACCTCAGGCAGGGCAGTAAAGATCTGAGGCCTCAATGTTTTAGTCTGGTCACTGGGAGTCAGAGCCCCTGCCTGGGTGCAAAGACTCAGTGAGGGGTGCCTTGGAACTGTAGCAAGAGCAGGCTGCAGGGCAGGTGCTCCCAAGGGTGATGATTGTTACTACTCATGTTGCCAAAGGAGCTGCTGCTCACTCTCCCCAACCTGCAGAGGACCCCAGCTCTCTCTCCACCCACCTTGGGGCCCCCAGTCCCCACAGGCCTCCCAGAAAGACCTGACAGATTAGACACTGGGTCAGGGCTCAAGCCTGGGTTCAAGTTCCCTGCCAAGCCTTGGCAGCCCCCAGGGCACAGCAGGTGGGGAGGAGGTCTTGACATCACTACTTGGCCCTCTGTCCCAATCCACCCACCCCCGTCGGGAGCTGCCAGCTCTCTGCAGGAAGCCCAGGGCACGTGGGTTCTATCTCTACCTCTAGAAGCTCCCCTGGGGCTCATAAAATGTGTCCCAAGTCACTCAAACTTGCTCCTCGGTTTGGGGGTCCCAGAACCTAGGCTGCGGCAGCCCACCCCAGGTCTGAGGGCCAAGGGCCTCTGAAAGCCAGTCTTTCCCCAGATGGGTTTAAGAAGGCCCTGGTTCCTGCTTCTTCCCTCTGAGCTCTGTGGATCCAGCTGTCCCCCGAGAAAACCACAGCACACTGTGGGCCACCTGCACCCAAGCAGGCCTACTGAAACCAGGATGGTGTCTCAGGTATGTTTACAGGGGGCAGAGCGACCTCTGTGACACCTCAGGGCAAGTGTCTGTTGAGAGGCCCCGACGGGGTGTGAAAGACGGGGAGTGGGGTGGGGGTCTCCCCAGTCCAGAAGGCCCTGGCACTGGGTGACATAGAGCAGGGGATAGTACCCAGCCTTTGACACGCAGGCACAAAACTCTCCACCCAGAGCCCCCGTTGCCAGCCCAAGAACAGCGCTCCTTCCTTGCCATCAGGAAAGGTTTTCAGAACTCTCATTGGGGTGCTGATCACCCCACTGTGAATCCGTTCCCTGACTCCTTCATTCACATAAGGAAATCTCTGTGCTTGGAGCTGCAACAGTAAGCGAATGGCTTCTTCCCTCACAGAGCCTACATTCCAGAGGGTGGTAAGCACTGGGGACACAGGAGGGGCATTAAGAGTGAGGCGCAAGGGGGGCCAGCATTAGCCTGTACGCTTGTGCAGAGCCTCCCTGAGCAGAATCCCCAGAGTTGAAGCCTACAGGCTAAGAAGGAGCCGGAGAGCAGCCTTCCAGGCAGAGGGGCAGGAGATGAAGTCAGAAGGCAGGAGCCAGGCCTTGTACGGCCTTAAAAGCCTCCATGAAGAGTTTGGATTGAATTCTGGGTTTGGTGAGAAGCCTCAGTTGCCTGAAGTAGGAGTGGCATGACTGGATTTGGGGGGCTGCTGCCGGAGCATACACTGCAGGGAGCTAGAGAAGAGGCAGGTAGGCCTGCGGCCGTCATCAGGAGAGTCGTGGGTGCCTGGCAGGGTAGGGCCATAGGGGCAGAGAGCAGTGGGCAGATGAGAAATGGCCAGGGTGTGGAACAGACAGGACACACAGGTGGACCAGCCTGGAGTGGGGAGTGGGAGGCCCAGGGGGTGGCACCAAGAGGATGAGGGTGCAGTGAGACAGGAGGAGCCTACAAAACAGCCGTAGGGGCCACCAAAGGCTCAATTTAGGACACAGTCTGGGAAGCCGTTTAGAGATGTTCAGTTAGAGGCAGCTGGATGCACAGAACTGGAGCCCAGAAGTGAGAGAAGCGTGTTGGGGGTCGTGGGGATGGAGATGGTATGTGAGTCCGTGGGACTGGATGAGGTCGCCTAGGAGAGTCAGAAAGAAGACACAGGACTGAGGCTCTGGAAGGTGAGTAAAGGAGAAAGAGTGGCCGGTGAGGTCAGAGGAAAGCCAAGAAGTGTGGTGTGACTGAAGCCGAGAGTATTTCAGGAGGATGGAGGGCTCAGCCATGATGAGGACTGCTCAGTTTACATGAGGATGCAGAAGTGTCCGGTGGATTTGGCAACTTGGAGGTGATGGGTGATCTAGAAAGTTCACTTCTGGTAGAAAGGTGGGAGCAGCAGGCACGCTGGAGGGGGATGAAGAGTGGAGGGAGGGAGGGAGGGGAGACAGCACCGTATCCGTCAGCGCAGGCAGGGGCATACTGACATAAGGGGCTCCAGAGTCACAGAGGCCCTCAACAGCAGAGGCTGTTTCCTCGCTCAGGCAGGACAACTGAGGCTCTGCTCAGGGACGGGGTGGAGGGTGCATCCTCCACTCAGAACACTGCCTGTTGCACCAGAGGACCTGGCCAACTACTGGCACTTACGGGTTTTGTTTCAAGCAACACACGTCACTCCTGCTCACGTTTCACTGGTCAGAGGAAGTCGCACGGCCCAGCCTGTCCTCAGTGGGATGGGGAAGAATACTTCTGGGGGCATCAGGGAGCAGCATTTGTGAGCACCACTCAGTCAGGAAGCTTTGCTGTAAAGGGGGCACAGAAACAAGTCCACAGAGGTTGTTTGTTTTTTAAGATGGAAGAAACTAGAGCCTGTTTGTGAGCTCATGAGCATGATTCAGGTGGAGAGAGAGAGAGAGAAATGGATACAGGAGTGAGAGGACCAAAGAGACGGAAATCTAGTGCTCCTGTAGGGGACACCTGCTGTGCCGTAACGAGGGAACATGGTCTGCGCAGGCGAGAGGATGGGCTTAGGCTCTGAGCACTTCTATTTTCTCCATGAAGTTAAGAGGGATCATCAGCTCAGAGTGAAGTTAGGGAAGCTGGGGACAGTTTGAGGAAAAAGCAGACAGACTGAAAACAGGCATTCCGTGTGGTGGAGATCAAGCTAGCCAAATCCCGTGAGGAGCTTTGGTGGACAAGGGCGGAGAAGGCGTTTGCAGACAGGTTTCCAATGCCCTCAGCCCAGCCTCCATCCAAACTCATCTCTTACTGGACTGTTGGGGCTCTTTAGCCCCCACCAGTGACATCTGCTCATTCCAACCCCTGCTGACAGGGCATTAGCTCAGCAAATACTGACTCCACCCCTCCTCTGGGCAGGCACCATGCCAGGGGGGCTCTGGGGACCACAGACCCAGTTCTTGGCTTCTGTGAGCTGACAGTCTTCCCCACATGCATTCAGGGGAGTGTGCTGCAGGCATTTGTCACTCTTTTTGGCCACCAGCTGCTCCACCCTCTTCCTGTGTTTGCGACATCTCAGTTTACATTTACATAAACTTCCCTCCCTGTGGAAGCTGAAAGGTCAAGCCCTCAGTTCCCCAGCCTTCCTTTCAGATTGGGCAAGGCCGTACCCTATACTCTGAAGTGAGAGATAGTGGTGCAGATAAGAGGGGCCCAGCTAGGTCCATGCTTGAAAGGCCGGCAGCAGGGGCAGAGCCAACGGGGGCAGTGGCTGTGGCAGGAACACTGGAGGACAAGCTGGGGGTGTCTTTCCCTTCATCTGCCGGTGGAGCCCCCCACCCTCTGGGAGATTTTGTGAGTTACCCAATAGACTTTAAATAAATCTGCTTATTTAAATTAGTCAAGGCTGTATGTCTGTTGCTTGCAAATAAGGGACTGAGATGAGCCCCCCGCAGCTGAGTGTGGCTGGCCCTGCTCCTGCCCTTCCTGCTCTGCCCCACCCACCTCAGCTCAGCGGCTTCCGCTCTTCCATGTTCCCAGGGGCAGGGGTAGGGGGACCACCTCTTCCCCACTGCAGGTGATTCGGGGCAGGGCTTTCAATCAAAGTGGTTAGTTAAGACTCTCCCGGGGAATTTCAACCTGAACCCAAAGCAGAGGGACTCCACTGGTGCCCTTTCACTCTGCTGGAGCTGACCGAGAACAGTGCCCAGTAGTTCCTTCTACCAAGACCCCAGAGCCACCCTGGTTCTTTTCTGCCCCAGAGCTGGGCTTTTCAGCTTCTCCTTTGGGTCCCATTTTCTTTCTGTGGAGGTCCACCCAGCACCCTTCTCTCTGGCTCTCTGTAAGCCGTCAGGCAGCCATGTGCTCCAGAGGGGCTGGGCTCCTACCCAGTGGGCATGCTCCTGAAAAGGGACACAAGGAATGGATGTCCTCTTATCCTGCCTGAGTGTGGTTGCGGGAGGATGAGATCATGGGGTGCATCTTTCAGCCACTAGAGGACCAGTCTAAAGGCCAGAGCCAGCTCCCCGAGGACTAAAGAGCAAAAAGATGGAGAAGCCTGCATCCGTAAAGACATTGAGCCAATGAGTCAACGAGTTCTGGGCTACCCAAACTTCTTGTTATAGGACATGATAAATCTTGTTTTAGCCATTTTGAGTTGGGTTTTCAGTTGCTTACAGCTGAAAATTTGCCTTCCAGTGAGTTCCTCTTTTGCTTAGTCAGCCAGACTAGATTTCTTTTGCTTACAACCAAGGAAGTCTGACTTATGTACCTGGTAACCACATGACTCGCTCAGACAGGACCTGCTCCAGGAACCTTCCCTCTGGTTAGACCCTCCATCCTGCTCGGGCTGCCTCCTCTCAGGACACTCCCTGCTGGCTTTAAGTCACCTGCCTCCATCCCCAGAGGAGTAGCCCTGCTGGGGTTTCCTGGGACATGGAGCTCATCCATACATGTCTGGTGAGTGAATGAATGAATGAACGAATGATTTAGCTGATATAATTCTGGCCTAAAGCAAAAAAAACAGGTACTTTAGTTAGCTGAAATGACCTTTTTTGTGGCTAAATGTTGATGTTCAGTAAGTTTTAGCAGCCAGAGGACTCCAGGGTAGATACCTTATGCCTAAGACACTAACGTTACCAGGCATTTCAGGGCTCACCTTACAGACCTTTATCTGTTGACCCCTCTGCATAATCTCTCCTGACTGTTCACTTAAGACATCCTACAGGCAAGCTTCAAATGTATCCACGGTATTCTGTGCCTTAAACTGAGCAGTGGTCTCAGGGATGTTAATTTTCTTATTCTTTATACCTTATACATACTATATTTTAAAGTATACATGTACTAGTTAATAAAAGAAATCACACACAAAAAAAGAAAAAACTGCACTGCAGTGTCTACCTAAAATCTCAGGTCCCAGGTCTTGACCACCCTCCTCCTCCCTGCTGGCCTGGGGCCTGCATTTCTCAGGGGTCCCCCTCCAGCCAGCCATCAGCACAGCACGTGTCAGCCTCTGACCCCAGGCTGACAGTCTTCCCCACATGCATTCCCCACATGCATCACCTCCCATGCAGCACGGGCTTCCTGGTGTGTGTGGTCCTCAAACCCTACCCTCCCTGATAAGGTTTTTCTTTCAAGTCACTTGTCATCATTTACTTTAATTTAAAAATAATAGTTGCCAATTGCAGAGAATGAGAAAAAGTATAGAAGTAAAATAGGAAGCAAAATCACCACCATCCCATTACCCTTGACAACCATCAACAGTGCCTTGCTCTACCTTCTTTCCATACTTCATTTATGTAGATATATATAAAATGTAAATAAAAATTTTATTAACAGCAATAAAATTGGGATCATGTTATATATGGATCTGTGTGTGCTGTGTTTTCTGCCTAACTTAGACCATTTATTCTTTCGGCAGGTTTCCAGGTGCCTTCGTCTGTGAGGCACTACACTAAGGTGGCCACCAGGAGCCCAGCAAGGCAGAGTGAGCACCCTCCAGGAGAGTCCTGGATGGGGAGACAGACGCTCATCAACGGTCACGTCTGTGTATAATCGCACCCTGGAAGGAGGAGTACAGAGAGATCTAGGTAGCTGTGAGAACTGTGGCCTCCCCAGTTGATGGGCGTGGGAAGGCTGGGAGAGTCTGAAGATTGAGGACTCTACTGAGGGGTAGGGATTCCAGGCAGAGGGAACAGCATATGCTGGGGGATGAGGCCAGAGGCAACACACGGTTAAGTGACAAAAGAACAGGGTGGTGACAGGCATGATTTTTATAGACTGCAGAGTAGCTACTGTATGGTCAGACTGTAATTTATTTGTCTGTGGAACACTTAGATTGTTGCTCATTTTCACTATTATGAATTATCATGGCAAAATTGATAACATTAGTTGCCTCCCAGGAGAGCTACTGAGAGCTCCAGGCCTGGGGAGAGCAGTTCACTATATACCTGTCAGGAACCTTTGGTTTATGACTATGTGAATGTTCTTACGATTCTTTTAAGAGTCAGTTTTTTAAAATAATGTTGGAATGAACATCTTTGTGCATAAAGGTGTGTCCAAATTTCTCATCCTTTCCCTAAATCAGACTCATTGAGTCCATCTCCTTGATGCATGATAAGTCACCTTCCAGAAAGTTTGGCCCACAGGGCTTTAAGTTCTACACCCAGAAAATCACCAGCCATGGGAGCTTTCAGAGACTCGACCCTTCCTCCATTTGCCTTCCCCAGGAGCTACTCAGAAGAGACAAAGCTGGGTGTCTCACACAAAGGGGAGATCTCTGGGGTGGGGACACAAAGGACACGACTATGTGTGGAATCCCTCCTGTGTGCCAGACCGCCCCACACTGGGGCATCCACATGCACTCAGGGAATGTTCTCCCCAAAATTATTATGAAAGTATTAATAGCCCCATTTCACAGTTGAGAAAGATATAGCTCAACAGAGTGCGGCAATTTGCGCAAGTTGGAGCCAGGATTCAAACCAAGACTGACCTGGCATCAGATCTCTCCTTGGAGGCAACTGCCGCCTTGGCGACCCTTGCCCAGTCTCTCCCCATCCAGCACCCAACAGGCAGCTCATCACCTCCCATGAACTGGGTCCTCACCCCCTTGCCAATAACCTCATCCCTCCCTGTCTTCATTATTTGTTTCCTCTCCTGGAGCTTCACACTCACGAGGCTGGGGAAATGGACAAGGCAGATGGGAAAGGAAGTGAAAATTCTGTGTAATACCGTGGTCTGTATCACAAAACTTGTCTCAAGTGCCAGCCCCAGGGATTTGCTGGAGTTGGTGCGACAGAGGTGGGGCTGAAGGTCAGATTAAATTGGACTAGTAACCCCAGGGGGAAATTTAAAAGAGGTTGCTAAAGAAAGCGTTTCCGGCAGGAAAGCCAGGCAGCTGAGGCGACAGCAGGCAGCGGCCGGTCAAGCCTGCTTGGAGGGGCTTGGTGGTGACAGGCCTGGGTTCACGCGTCCTCCCCCAGAAACCTGAAATCGTGCCTTTTTCCCCTAATAATGAGTTAGTATAAAAATGGATCTTGAATAAAATTGTCTGCAGTTTTCAAATTTCAAACTGCATTAGTCAAAATACATCAAATCTCCGTGTACTGACTTACCACCTGCTCAAAATCTGATCCTTTTTCAGCTGGAATATATTGAAATATGAATCACCTCCTGAGAGGAAAAAGGGAAAAGAAACGGAGAGAAGTCCTTCTCAAAATGTGCTGGTGGGCGAGCTGGAATCCCGCGCTGCCTTTGGCTCCCTCCGCAGTCCCCCGACGACCGAACGTGCCCAGGGAGGCCAGGCCCGCGGCCATTCCCACCTGCGTCCAGATTTCTAGTTCAAACCCCTCTGCTCTGGGCAGGCTGTGCCGCACGGTGCGCAACAGCACCATTTCAAGTTGTCCAGCCTTTAATAAGCATTTATTGTGTGCTGGGCTCGCAGTCTCACTGGGGAGGCCTGTCTGTAATTGCACTGCTAAATCCAGTAGTGACTTCTTTGTCCTCATCTACCCACTCTCTTAGCAGCAGTGGACACAGTCGGCCCTCCCTTCTGGAAACACTTCCTTCTCTTCGCTCCAGAGCTAAGGCTCTGCCATTTCTTCTGCCGCCAGGCTGGCTGCTCTCGGGGGTCAGGCTCCCCCTCCTCCGCACATTCTGACTCCCTGGCTCAGTCCCCGCACCTTCTCCTCCACAGCCACACCTATGCCCAGGGGCACTCACCCAGGCCTGGGCTTTAAACATGTCTCCACGGGGCTGAAGACCAGAAGGGTGTCTTGGTCCTGAGCTCCAGACCCTCCCACTGGACCGCCCACAGGTGGCATCACCACAGGGATGTCCGGTAAGCGGCTCAAAGTCAGCGTGTTCTGACGGAGTTCCCTCCACCTTCCCCATCTCAGTAACAGACTCCATCCTTCCAGCTGCTCCAGCTGAGAATGTAGACACCATTCTATACTCCTCCCTTTCCTTTGTTGTCTTTCTCTTTAATCCACCAAGTCCCATTGGTTCTACCTTCAAAATATATCCCAAATCTTCAAACCCCAAATCTGTCCACATCAGTCCATCTGCACTGCCCGCCGCCCCCAGACCACTGTCACCCTAACAGGTCTCCTTGCTTTCCTGGCAGCCCCATCACCACCACGGCCACAAGGATCTTGCAGACTGTAAGTGCTATCACCTTACTTTCCTCTTGAACTCTGCCAGTGGTTTCCCAGTGCAACAGAATGAAATGCAAACTCCTTACCAACCCACAGCGTCCTCCTGACGGCCCCCACTGCCTCTGCAGCCCCATCCTGCAGCCCTCTCCCCATCTCCAGCTGCACTAGCCTTCCTGTTCCTCGACCACAGCAAGCTTATTCTTTCTTACCTTGGCAGTTTTGTTATGTTTTATGGCAAAGTGCACATAACATAAAATATACCATTTTAACCATTTTAAAGCATACAATTTGATGGCATTTAGTACATTCGGTGTTATACACCATCACCAATATTTAGTTCTAGAACATTCTGATCATCCCAAAGGGAAACCCCATACCCATTAGCAGTCACTCCCCATTCTTCCTCCCTCCCAGCCCCTGGCAACCATTAATCTGCTTTCTGTCTCTGTGGATTTATCTATTCTGGAGATTTCATGCAAATAGGATCATACAGTATGTTTGCCTTGGAGTTTAGCACCGACTATTCCTGCATGAACCCTTCTGCCCCAGGCCCTTGCAGGAACACCTCCTTCTTAGCGTGTAGGACTCAGCTTAAGCACCACCTCCCTCTCTAAAGCAGATGCCCCCATCCACCCCAGTCGCTTTTGATTACATAAGTACCCTGCTCTATTTCTCTCTTAGCACTTCACACTCTCTGAGAGTATGTCAGCTAATTATTTGTTGACATGTTTATTGTCTTTCTCCTTGTCTTCTTGCTCCCTGAGATGTCCTCAGCCCCCAGGACAGTGCCAGGCACCTAGGAGGCACTCAGCAGTTACCTGTGGATTGACCCAAGTGCACCATCGGCTCTGTGATGGAGCGTCCACAATGCCATGGCAGCGCGGGTGAGGGGGATCAGCAGTACAGCCGGGAAGGTGGAGGAGGCACAGCAGGAGGGCAACTTCTGAGGGGGAGCAGAGGTTCTGCTGGCATTCAAGGGGCAAGAGGGAGAGCATTTGGGTGGCAGAAACCACATGGTCAAAGGGTCGGAGGCAGGGAGAGAGCATGTCCAGTTTGAAGTCGTATGCCGTCTTCTCCCAAGTTTCAGTTTGTTCCCTGATTGTCTCACTAGACTCTCACGGAAAAGAGATGCAATATATGTCTGGGATTGGCATTTGGGTTTGATACAAGATATAAGGTACTGACAGGAAAGAAGGGATACAATCTTTTCTGTTTTGTTTCTTCTCCCCCCACCCTGGTCCTAACATGTGCTGGACACCCCACCTCCACCCCCACCCCAGACACAAAGGAAAACAGACTGGTTCCAAGTTTTTTGATTTTGAGTCATCCTGCAACCACCTGTAAGAGACTGGGAAGGTGGGAGGGAGGGCAGGATGGTGTATGTTACAGACAATTGTCAACTGTGGTTTGAGGATCCCAGGAGGGGCAGACCTGGAATGGGCCCATGGAGTCCTTTCTGGGCTGAGCCACCAGCCCCCATGGGCACTGGACTGACTGTGAGCCTAGTGCCTTCATTTCTGGTGATCAGGCTTGGCTGATCCAGGCCCTGTGGCTCTGGGAGTCCAGCTGAGCTCCCAGGAGAGGCCTTTCCCCAAAGCTGGGAGACTCAGGGCAAATTCAATTGTGTGCAAGGCAGGAACCATTAGCCTGTCTGTGGACATGGCCCCCACCCCACTCCCCTCCCCTCTGCCAGCCAGGCCTGTCCAGCTGGCCTCTGCCAGATCCCAGCTTCCCACCACTCAAGGGCCCCTGCTGCCCCTGGGCTGCGCCCAGCCTCCTCTGTCCCTTGGTGCCCTAGAGCTCCCATCCCTCCTGCCTTAGGATCAGAGTAGATTTTGAGCTGAGAAGGAAAACAAATCCTTGGGGAATCTTCCCCCTCCATGGAGGCAAGCCTGGCGCTTGGCCCGTACCACCCTCAAGCATCTGTGTGCAATCGCCCTCAGGAGTCCTAATGGGGAAGAGGCCCTGGAAGCAGGCGGGTCCATCAGAACAGAGAATTCTGTCCAGTGCAGAAGCAGCTACCCACACTGTGGCTTCTGAACATTAGAAGTGTGGCTATTTCAAAGACAGTATGAAAATGAATGCTTGGTATATTGATTACATGTTGAAATTATACTATTTTGAATATATTGGGTTAATTTAAAATATTTTAAAATGAAGTTCTGTTGCTTTTTACTTTTCTGATATGGCTTCTAGAAAATTTAGCATACATGTGGCTCACACTTCTATTGGACAGAATTGGTCTTCCACGATGGGAACAGGCTCCAGGTGGGCACATCTTCTTGGCCCCATGGACTTCCTCCTTGCCCTTTAGAGATAGAGCAACAGGAAAAGAGCTGAGCAGAGCCCTCCCAAAGGTGGTGCTACCTGGTGGAAACTAGTCCTGACATCCACTCAAAAGGCTCTTCCAGCATAGCTGGGAGATAGAAGCGTGACTGCCCCATAGGAGGATGCTCCCTGAAATGCTGAGGACAGCCCCCCAAGGCAGGGACACGGCCTGGAGCAGAAAGCAGGGCTTTGCTGTCATTTACTCTTCCTCCAGCACAGTCCAGCTAGAGCACGTGCCAGGCACCAGGGCTGCCCAGGGCACTGCAGGTGTGGCTGTGGGCAGGACAGTCCTGGCGGCTGCCACAGAGTGACTCATGTGCTCATAGGGGTGGCAGACCCACACACAGCTCTCTGGCCCCATGGAAGAGGGGCAGTGGCAAGAGTGTGCCCAGAAATTCAAGAAGGTGGCCCTGAGTAGACAGGGAACCCCCTGGGAAAGTTGGCAGATCCCCAACCTGGAATGCCACAGAGCTGAGAAGAAAGAGGAGAGGAAGAAAGAGGAGGGAGAAGAAAGAAAAGAAGACAGAAGAAAGGAGGGAGAGAATTGACAGAGAGAGAGAGAGAACACAAGAGCACAAAGAAAGCAAGTGCTTACAGGGGGTGTGGGCTCCGGTGCCAGCACGGAGGAGGTCCCACCAGGAGAGGGTCTGAGCCACTGGAGAAAGGATGCGCAGAATGGGGCTGAAGAAGCCAGTTGGAGGTTTCCACCTGGGAATCGGGAGGGGCATGGGGCAGTAGGAGGACACCCGGGGCACTGTGTTCTGGCTGAAATGGAGCCGTGGGTGGCACTACATGGGGACAAGCCAGCAGCTTGATGGAGAATGAGGGGCTATAAAGGGACAGCTGGGCAGGCCGGGCTGGGGCCACAACTGGTCTCACTGTGTCTCAGCCCCAACAGCTCCCAGGAACCCTCCGGATGATGCCCAGCAAGCTCCCATGTTTACTGTGCAGGAGGGCTGGGAGCACCCCTGAGCAGATCTGGCTGACCCTCAAGGGCCTCAGGGCAGAGCTGGCCTGGGGCCTCTCCTGATGAAGACTCCAGGCCACTCTCTGCCCCAACCCCAGGCCTCATGGACACATACCACTGTGGAGGACTGTGGCTTCTGTCCCCCTCAACCCCAGAAAGGGACAACTTGTTTGTTTTTCTGCTTCAAAGCCCAGAGCACCCCTTTAGGCTCTCCACTAAAGCTCTTGCTTCCTGCTCAAGAAAAGGGCCAGCTCTGTTTATGCAGCCAGGAAGAGGAACAAATCAGGGGCACCTCCAGAGCTAATGAATGATCAGAGCCTCCGGCCCAGGTCAGCAGACCCACCAGCCTCCACGGTCCTCTGTGATGGCTTGTTATTCCAGTATTCCCAAGAGACAGATGGAATTTTTCTCCAACATTGCCTAATTACATTCCAACTGTACATGATACAGTAACACGTGTCCAAGGCACACACACAAATCCCAAGGTTGAGGGGAGAACATTCCCAGAGGGTACGGTGGGGAAGTTTTCACCTTGAGGGATGCATGTGGAGGCGTTACATGGGGAGGCCCCAGGATGAGACCCCCTCTCCTGTCAAGAGCAAGCCCCACCCTGGGTGACTGATTGAAGTAGTCCTGCCACCACAGAGAGCTAAGCAGGGAACTCCACAGGGAGGACTGCTGGGAAGGGGTGCGTGGAGGAATGTGCTCCCTAAGAGCCCGCCACAGGGATGGGAGGTCCTGATCTCCCATCAACTTTTCCCTTCAGAAACTGGCATCCCACTCCTCCACACAGGCTCCCTGAGCTGACCACTCCCTGCCAAATAGAGCTCCTTAGCAGGTGCCCCGCCTGGCAGAGTCCCAGCTGGGAGGGAACGCTCTGTCTCCGGAGTCCTGTCTGTGTGGCCCCAAGTCTCGGGGACTACCGGCACTCTCTGTCAGAGCCGAGGTGGGAGCTCCTGGACGACCAACTAGCTCCTTCATCCCCTCCCGTCCCTTCAGCCTCTGTCCTGTCACCCAGTGATGTCGCTGGAGCTGCCACAGCTCCCCGGCTCTCGGCTTCTCTCGCCTCAGCGCTGGGGCTGCCCAGGCATTCCTCTGTTCCGCCTCCACATCTCCCTCTCCCTTTCCCTAAGTGGTCGTTCCAAACCTTCCCCTCTCTCCCTAAATCCCACCCTTGGCCTCCAAGCTTGGCCTTTCACCTTCCCAGCATCCTCACCCATCCTCCCTGAGGCCGCTCTGGTCCTGCCCTTGAACTTCTCTTCACACCAGGTTTCCATTCAAATGCCTATAGGGGCCAAGCTGGCAACAGAAGGGTGAGCAGGGCAGGGGGCCCTGGGTTACCAGGCCTTCTCATTTTGTCAGAAACTGGAAATCAGGATGTTCATATGCAATTGGTGGGCAACAAATTCAACAAAAAACAAAAAAACAAAACTGTGTGGGCCAACAAGCCCCACCTGCAGCCAGGTTCCGCCTGAGGCCGTGGCTTCTGACAGCCACCTCCCTGTCTGGTGTGGACCTCTCCATCTTCAGGTCTGGCCCTTGTTCTCTTCCCTCCCTCTGCCCACAGACGGCTTGTCTCTGCCACTGAACAACAAACCCCGTCTAACCCAACTCCCTGCAGCTGCCGCCTCCCTCCTCCGGACAGGGGCAAACTGCTTGAAAGCTCTGTCTGCACCCATCCCCCTTCAAGCCCCTGCATCTGGATCCCCCCCTCTGCTTGAGCACAAACACCTTGCTTGGGCCCTAGTCCAAGTTTCCACATCCCATTTTGCCCCAGCTGCTCTGGGGGACAGAGTTCCCCTTGAAATCTCCCCCTCCCCGGTCTCCCTGACACGGCTCTCCTGGGTGTCTCCTGCCTGGGCCCACTCTGGACACTGCTTCTAAGCCGTCCCTCTTCCTCCTTCCCCCACGGTGTCTGCGGCCACCTCCTTGCGAATTCACCCTCCTCTTACCTTTCTCCTCGCTCCAAATCCTGATTCCGATGACTCCCTACACATGGCCCCTGGGATTCCCGGGACTTTTCCTACTCAGCTTTTCCAAAACAAGCATCACCCCTCAGATCCCCTTCTCATCTTCCTGGGTCACCTTCTCAGTGACCACCAGCTCCTTGGTCTGCAGAAACCCTGGATTCTGGATTCTCCTCTTCCCTTGAGCCCAGTTCACCACATCTTGTAGCTTCTGTCTCTGAACTCTCTCCTGGTGGTACAGCCGCCTCCTTGCAAATCTCCCGCCTTCACCTGGCCCCCTCCATCTTCCCCATCTGAAGAGTCTTCTTAAACTTGGCTCTGATTACATCACTCCAAATGTCTGTAAATCCTTCTTTCCAGAGGATGTCCCTGTCTGGTTCCCTGGGTTCTAAGCCCACTTTTGCATCCTACCACCAGCCCAGCCATGTCAGCCCATTACAGTTTCTTGTACGTGCCATGTTCTCAAACCTTTCCAGCTCTTAGGTCATGCTGGCCCCTCCACCCCTCCTTCCTTCATGGGCCTGCTAATGCTCACTGTTCTTCAAACTTGGCACAGGCTGCAGGGGATTCTCCCCACTTTGGGCTGACCTAGCCCACTCTTCAACATGGCCTCATGAGTGTCCGTTTGCACGTAGCTATTGTTATGTGAGAGACTGAACAGACAGACTGGCAATGCCAACTGCATATAAAAATAGAACTCTGACCTCCAGTCTGCAGTAACCCTCCCAGAGAACCATCCCATTATCTACAGTAACCAGCCCAAGAAGCCAGCCTGCTTCTTGTGGAAGTCAGACATGTAGGAATCAGGGCACTTCTGTACCAAACTAACCCCTGTGACAATCAGCCCCAAATGGCCAGGTTTCTCTAATTTTTTTGTCCCCACTTCCAACTTAGGACCAACTGGAGAGAACCAAATATGCTCCCCTAACCAGTAACAGAGGATGTCCTGCTTCTAGTTAGCGAGGTTCCAGCTTCTGCCTGCCAGCAGCCTCCACTCAGGGCATACCTGAAGCCTTCCCTCTTTTTTTAAATTTAAGAATAGTTGATATACAATATTACTTTGGTTTCAGGTGTAAAACAGGTGATTTGGCAATTATAAACACTACAAATTGCTCACCACAATAGGTGTAGTTACCATACAAAGATATCACAATATTATTGACTATTCCCGATGCTGTACTTTTCATTGCTATGACTTATTTACTTTACAGTTACAAGTTTGTACCTCTTTATCCCCTTCATCTATTTCACCTGTCCCCCACCCCTACCCCTTTTCCCTGTGGCTACCACCAGTCTGTTCTCTGTGTCTATGAGTCTTTCTGTTTTGTTTGTTTTGTTTTTTAGGTTCCACAAATAATTGAAATTATATGGCATTTATCTTTCTCTCTCTGACTCATTTCACTGAGTATAATACCCTTTAGGTCCACCCACGTTGTTGCAAATGGCAGATTTCATTCCTTTTTATGGATGAGTAATATTTCATTGTATATAATACCACATCTTCTTTATCCATTCATCTATTGACAAAAACTTAGGTGGTGAAGCCTTTCCTTTTTCTACTATAAAACCTTCCCACTCCTCTGCCTGCCTTTGAGCTTCTGCCAAAATTTAAGTGATAGTGGATGACTCCCTTGGTGTAGCAAGCTCTGAATAAATAGCCTTCACCTGTCCTCCTTTGGTTGGTCTCTATTTAAATAATTTGCATATGTATTACAAATCATTCTAAAACTGACGGCTTAAGATATGGAAGCAACCTAAGTGTCCATCAGTAGATGAACAGATAAAGAAGATGTGGTACATATACAGAATGGAATACTATTCAGCCATAAGAAAGAAACAAATCCTACCATTTGCAACAACATGGATGGAGCTGGAGGATATTA